GCGCGCAAAAAGGTGAGTCAACAGTCTGGTCCAATTGGTGTCATTGGCTAATCACATATGTCTCTCTCCCTCCCTATCTCTTGCTTTCATTAGCGCCAGCGCCTCAAGCTCCAGCAGGATCCATGCAATCGAATGAGTGCTCATCCTTGTGAGCCTGCTCCACACTCAGTGGCTGGCACGCATGATATGGATCTGCTGATGGAACAGTTGAGCACATGCAGCGATGCCACGCCCTCGACCTCGCCCACGCCCTCGTCCTCGCCATCGTCCTCGCCCTCATCCTGGCCGCCACTGAGCAACAGAGCCGCCGGCTCGGCAGCACCACGCGTCAGCATCCTGCTGAAGATCCGCCATCAAATCTTTGAGCGCAAGCGTCAGCGGCAGCGCCAGCTGGCGGACCTGGTGAAGCAGCGTCTGGTGGTCTGGCGACCATGGTAGACCACCCTCAGCACTACCCACCGTTAGCTGTAACCAATGATCACTGTATATTCCTCTGCCGTGTGATTCTTACATCGTTCTTCCATATCGTAATCAAACAGAATTTTTTTTAAAATATATTTTTTTTTTTTTTTATAATTATCATAGTTAATAAAACTTTCTTTTAATGAAAATAAATATATATATATTTTTAATTATAGATGAGAGAGTTACCAGGTCTTTTAATGGATATGGATATTTTAAATTGATTATATCATGATTCTATATTGAAATTAGAATATATTTTGGATTGTACATTATATATACATAATGTTTATTTTATTAGTCAATTATTTCTATTAGTTAGGAGCAGAGAATAATTTTATTATTGGCTGACAGTAGATCAAAGGTTTGTTAGATCTCTTTTTATTTCATTGAGTTTAATTTTGAAAAATTCTTGAGAGACTGCAGCGATTTAACTGCCTGTTTCGAGATTTGTAGGATTTTCGCTTAATATTTTCTGAAATCTAATATTTTGACCACATATCGGCGTTCATACGTCGAAGCTCTGCGAACTGCGCAGTTGACGCAGCGACTGCGCTTAAGCGGCAATTCGGAGTTTACTATGGGGACTTAATTGTTGAAGAACTTTTCTTATGCTGGACTTGCGTAATCAAACTTTCAGAATTACTTTAATATGTGTATGGCCTTGCAAATTTGGAGGAAATGGGGTGGATTTTGGAAAAGCAAAATTTTAAAGCTCTAGCTCTAAAGATATAGAAAATATAATAATATAAATGAATTCTAAAAAGGATTTAGATTGATAGCACCAAAAATAATGTAGCTATCAATTTTTTTAGACACGCCAAATTCGGGCTGTACTATACAGGAACCTACAATTATACTGGATATAATGATAACTATACAATTATAATAGATATATTTCAATTGCTGAACTGTAATTAAATGAGATCTATTATAACATTTTCTATATTCAGGTGGGATAAAGAGGATATATTTGTTATTATATTATAAGTCATACAAACTAATATATAATGGCAGATATCATAATAAAGTATGAGCTCTAATATCCGATAAATAATAAAACTCAAAAGGATACATTACTATTTAATTTAATGGAGTCAAAAAAGATTTTATTTCAATATTAAAAAAAAAAAAAAAAAAAAAAAAAAAACCTATTATTTTCATCGCTCAATTATACTGAACAGAGAATGTTCACATCCACTTCAGTGAGCTTTATTCAGTCTGCAAACTCAACCCATGTTGGCCTGTGTAATCCAATTTACAATTTTCCCATTGCATATTAAAACGAACAATTTGTTCTGTGGAGAATCCAATTAATTTATTGATAATTTGCTTTTGCCGTGGCATTTGGTGAGTAAAACTTGATTTTTATTTATTTTTTTTCATTTGACATTCATTTGGAATTCGAAGTGTAATATATTTAAATATTTCATTAAACTTTGCTTTATGTATGTATGTAGTATTGCATGTGCGTATATAATATTTGCATGTATTGAATATTGAACATTGACACCAATTGAAACGGTTGAAATTCACATTTAGATATTGATCAATATAGTAGTAGTATTTGCTTGATAAATGCATATTTGTTTTTTATTTTAATTATTTATTTATTTTTTTTTATTTTTTAGTATGTAACTATTAAGTGGGACGCTTTAAAGACGCCGTCTGCTCGCTGTGTGTGTGTGTTTGTGGGGGTGTATACCTATGTATGTCAATGAGTATGTCCTATATGTGTGTCTATGTCTAATAGACATTGTCTATATATATGTATGTTTGTGTGTGTTTGGGTATATTTAGGTTATTTGGGTAGTATATTTTCTTTTTCATTTGTTTAATATTTGCGATTTGCTATTCATATTCATAGTAATATTGTTGTATTTACTTTTGCGTTTTCTTATGTCTTCCTCATTTGCATTTGCTTTCCACACTCCTGTCGCTTTTCTCATTTCTTAAGTACTCACTTGAGTGCCTGCCTTATTCGATATTCTCCTTCTTACATAACTATAGAGTTTTGTTCTTGCCATATATATGTATATATAGATATATATTTTGTTTTATATATTTTTTTAAATTTCTATTATAATATGTTTAGTTTTTCAATTTGAGCTGCGCTCGCAAAAAAAAAAAATAAAAATAAAAATAAATAAATAAATAAAAATAAAAATAATAATTTTATCGAAAAAAAATATCTTTCCATTTATAACTTGGACTTTCTGTTTTTTCCTTGTTTTGATATTCAAATTTGTTGTTTGTTTCTATTTTATAATTTTATTTATTTTTATTTTTTCAATAAATACAGTTTTCTTTGACATTCATATATGTATGTATATTTAGTGTTTGTATATAACTCATACTCGTTCACAATGCTAAGATTTGTCTTCTATAGAAGCTAAGATTTTCGTTTACTATTTTTTGTTATATTTTTTTGAATATACAATAAAAAAAAACTATTAAAGGTATACCTGCCTCACTGTTAGTGCACTATGTGGGTAAATCTCAAGATCTATACAAAATGATCTATCAAATCGGAAAATATCTGTGATTGTTCTTCTAATTGATATAGAATTTCTAATCCTTGATTTGAAACTGAGCTCTATAAAAATTCCTTCCTTGTTCCTTCGTAACGCCATTGTGAACGAGCATTGTGTAGTCGGTCATGTCCGACTGAAACATTTTTCTTTAAGATTCTTGTAGGTAGACAACATTTTGCACAGTTATTCGCTAGGTACACACATTTATTTCTTTACGTTTTACTAAGTAGTGCTGCAAGCATCTGAAATTCTTTGCGTACTCGAAACATTTTGCTCAACCAATCAAAATTAGTTTTGGCAACAGAAGTCAGGAGACGATTTCAAGGATACCCATTAAAGGTAGCTGCTCGAAGCGGGTATATTAAATGCAATGATACAAACAAATCGAACCAGATGTGAGATATCAGATCACAAAGCTGATCCCATATCTTGGACATCTCGAATATTTTCGATATTGATTTTCTCTGGTATACACAAATTTTGAGTATTACGCTCTATCAATAAGACTAAAAGTAAATTAATTTATGGCAGGTAAAGCCTTGATCCTTATCATCCATAGCACACATAAGGACAAGCCAAAGTATTCTCTATCGACTAACCTAATTCAGTAGCATACAAATAGTACTAAAATTAGTTTAACAATCTAGTATTCAACTTGAAACGCGTTTCGTCTGACGAATGTTTCAAATCAAAAGTCAAAATCGAACTCAAGAATTGCGTTTGATTTTCGAACAGAGACTCACTTGCACGCACTTAAGTACTACATTCAATAGATCAATATATACGTGTATATAAATATATTCAATTGTTGTATACGCTCACACATATTCATATGGATATACACACATGCATGTATATTTCAATAAATACGCGCTTGTCTATATAGATACATAAATATATCAGTTTACATAAATATCATATTCGTGTTTTAATCTCATTTTGTGATGTTGCTGTTTCTCTTCTTCTTCTTCTTCTTCATCATCATCTTCATGTCTTTTTCGAAATGCTTCTAAAACTAAACTAGACATATAGCTATATGGCATTAGACATCATCTGGCTGTGGGGGTTATTTCTTTAAATGCCATTTACTACGGTGACACACACAAAAATATTGAAATATTTTTTTAGATATTTTTTATGTTTTTTTTTTTCTTTTTGTTCATTATGTAGGAATGCTTATGAATATCTAAATGCTTCGACGATTTAATTAAATGCATTGTGATACTTTTTTCTTCTGTTAGCTAAGCTCTTTCTTTTGCACTCGCAATGGACTGTCCGTCCGTCCGCTTGTCTGTCCGTCCATTTAACCGTTCCTCTGCTCGCACATCAGTCTGTTCGTCCCCATGCTGTCCACATATCTGTCTTTATGTCTTTTGACTCAGCTCAACTTCTCACTTCATTTACCTTTTCTCTCTGTTTTCTCTGATATCATTCTTGAATATGGCTTTCGGACATCTTTAAAATATCTCTCGTGGATCTCTCTATATTTTATATATATAATAGTCAATCTATCTGTCAATTTACGTATTAGTCTGTCTATCATTGTCTGTCTGTGTATTAGTAAGTCAGTTTGTCAGTCAGTCTGTCATTCCGTCAGTCTGTCATTCGTCAGTCTGTCGTTTTCTGCTAATTTTTAAGTTCAGCTTAACTGTTAAATTTTTTCCAGCTTCAATCGGAAATTGTGGCTCTTATCTCTCTATCTCTCTATCTCTCTCTTTCTCTCTCTCTTTCTCTCTCTCTTTCTCTCTCCCCTCTCTCCCTCTCTCTCACTCTCTCTCTCTCTCTCTCTCTCTCTCTCTCTCTCTGTCTCTCTATCTTTCTCTCTGTCTCTCTCTTTCTCTCTATATCTCTCTCGCTCTTTCTATATCTCTGTCTCTCTCTCGCTCTTCCTCTCACTGTCTCTTTCTCTATCTGTCTTTCCTTATCGCTCTCTCTTTCTCTTTTCTCTCTCTCTCTCTCTCTCTCACTCTCTCTCTCTCTCTATCTCCCTCTCTCTCTTATATATATAATTCTGGATAGATCTCATTTGTAACTATAACTCGATTTCCTCCATTTTTGTCTTGATGCTGCTTTAAGTTTCGCTCAGTTTCTGGATTCATTCACCTCGACTCCAAATTCTTTCGTTTTAATTTACTAAAAAAAAAATCTTCTTATACTCCCAAGTTCGGCTTGAACTGTCTTTTGACTGTCTGCTTTTATTACTCCACTGCATCCCCCTTCTGCGATGAATCCCCCTGCCCATTCGGCCCTTCACCTTTTATGATCTATATTATTCTCCTTTAATATTTGCATTATCCCTAATTGAATGTGTTTTCTCTGTATCTCTGTCTTATTTTTCGCTGCTGATGTAAGCTTCGCTTAGTTTCTAGGCGCGTTCACCTTGACTCCAAATTTCGTCGCTTTAAGCCCCAAAACATACCCCAAGCATTTTAGTGCGGAGTTTGAACTGTCTTACGTCCCCACTTCATTCCCCTTTCCGTGCGATACTCTAAGCCTTGAAGGGTCTCCCTCTTCCCCTTCAAGTCTATCTAAATTCTTTGGTTCGCAATTTTATAACCTGTATTGAATATTGATTTTCATATTTGTTTTTTCTTATCCGTAAAGTTGTATATTTTCTTAAGTTTTCCTTGGAAATTCATTTTCTACCATCGAAATTGAACAACACCAATAATTTTCGTTGATTATATATATATATGAGTAGAGTGCTTCATATGCATTATTTCTTCTTCTTCTCTGTGGGAAATTCCTCAATCTAAACTTCAAACTCAAACTTGCTTATCTTGATCGGTCTGTCTGGTTTATAGTCTGTAATCTGTAAAATCGAGTTAAAAGGTCTATTGAGAGCTGTGAAAGGCATAAAGAATTCTGTTACATCTCGAACAAAGCAGATGAAAAGTATTGAAAATGTTGCGTCATGAAGAGTTGTGGATGCGTCCAGAGGTTTACGTATTTACGTATTGCGAGTAGTTGGGATATTCCGGTAGTTGGGTAATAATATGTAGATAGCGAGATGATTCATTGATAGCAATCGAGTGGATTTGGCGTTTTCAAACCACGCTCGGATCGTTGCTCGATGCGGTGTGACGTGGTGACGGAAATGGGCTGGGTAAGGTTATGGGCGTGGTAGCTGGCGAGAGCGAGGGCGAGCATGTGATCGAGGGCGAGGAGGTGGGCGTGCGCGATGATGGGAGCGAGGGCGAAGAGAGGGGGCGGAGTTGGTGACGGGGGGCGAGGGCGAGGGCGAGGGCGAGGGTGAGGGCGTGGCAGTGGGTGTGGGTGAGTGCGTGGGCGAGGATACAGAGGATTGGGGAGTGTTAGGCCGGGACTATATGCTGCTGGACCGTCCAATGCCGGATGTGGTGGTGATGTGATGATTACGCATGTTCACCTTTTCGAATCGCACCATTGGAACACCCATGATGGCCTGTGTGGTCTGTGTGAAGAGTTGTCGGGCAAACTGGATTACAAACCGCTGCTGTAGCCGTTGCTGGCGGTGTGGCACTCACCTCATCCACCTGGTGGCACAGCTTGCCCTTCAGCCACGGCCACTTGATGGTGCGCATCAGCGTGTTGCGAAAGTCCTCGCTGAACAGGCAGTAGATGTAGAACGTTATCGAATAGTTGATCAGCTCCAGCAGATTGGCCATTGCCCGGAACACCTGAAACGGAAAGCTGGGCAGCACCTCCGAGGCAATGGTCATGTGCAGTATGGCCATGGGCGAGACGCAGAGCAGGAACAGGATCGAGGTGCTGCCGAGCAGCAGGAATAGGCGTCGCTCCTCGGCAAACTTGCGCGGATCGTCGTCCTTCACATAGGTGGCGCGCGACAGGACCATCTGACGGCGGCGCTCGCAGGTCCGGCGATAGACGAGCATAATGCGCAAATTGAGGCCAGCGATCACGACGGTCGGCACAAGCTTGAAGATCACCTCGAGCATTATCTTGTACACCGAGTAGAAGATGGTGCGCTGGTAGATGTTGTTGTCCCGCCGGAGATACACGTACACGTTGTTCGAGGTCAGCATGCACTTGATGAGCTCGCCGCGAAAGATGCTCGGCAAGTAGATGATGAAGGTCACCAAGCAGGTGACGAAGACAACCACGCTGCAATGTGGGGCAACGGCATGCAAAAGTTAGCTGGCATACGTTAGCTGGTTACGGCACGGCCGGACTGCCCATACTCACCCTGGCGGACCCATCACGGGTCGCGTGAAACCCGGATGGCAGACGGAAACATAACGCTCGATGGTCAGCACCAATAGCATCATGACGCCAACACCTGAAACAGAGTATCATATATACATAACTATATTTAGTCATTCATTATCTCAATCATCATTTCTGTTATCGATAATTATCATCTATCGAAGTTTGTCGTAACTTTTCTCATTAGCCATTCTTCAAATTTCCATCTAAACTCCAGCTCGACTGTTGTGAAGCAGCAATTTGGCGACTCAGCTGTCATCTTGACATTTAACACCACTCGATTATGTTCTCTGGAACAACGTCAAGTCCTTGGCTCACGCTAACAAGCCCAGCACTTCGAATGAGGTCGAGGCGAGCATTCGATACGCTCTGTGCGGAACGTTAAGGCGAGGCGTTCCAAATTGATGCTCAAGCTTGAAGCTCTGCCAGCGAAGGGAAGGCCACTATTTGATGTCCTACTAAATGGCATGGATGTGGCCTTACAGCAAAAATAGTTTCAACTTTAAAACTTAAATAATTTTTTTTTTTTTCCTTTGCAATTCGTTATGCTGTTGCTCTTGTTGGGTCAATCAATATAAAATTGCAACATGCTAATATTAGAAAGTATGAAATGCATATGCATAGCTACAAAAAATACTACAAAATACTAGAATGCACGAGAAACATGTAGAAATATAGCTAATTAAAAATACTATAAAGTGATGAACAAATGCTATAATATATTATAAAATAATAAGTATTATTTATTTGAATTAAAAAGTACTCTAAAATACTAGAATACACAAGAATTATGTAAAATACTGGAAAATATAAAATACTACAGAATATACCTAATTAAAAATATTACAAGGTGATGAACTAATGGTATAATATATTATAAAAGAATAAATGAATTATTTATTTAAAATAGAAGTACTAAAATGTACTAGAATACACAAGAAAATGTCAAATACTACAAAATATACAAAATAACAAATACTAGAAAGTGCTATAATATATTCAAATATATTCAAAATAATATATATTGAATTTGTGATATATTTTCCATTTGGTATATATGTAAATACTAATAATAGAATATTTGAAAAATTCTTGAAAAAACTAAACGAACACTGAAACCTATTAAAATATATTAATAATAAAAATAAATAAATTCTAAAGAAAGCTAGAATATAAATAGCTACAATCTATTAAATATAATAATAATACAAGCTACTATCAAATAGTAAGTGTTTTATAAAACGCTAAATAATACTAAAAAAAATCTAAGCAAATGCTGTAAAATTATTCAAATAAAAAGGTGTTATTATAAATTATTTATTTATTACATGAGTCTTATTCTTTTCTTTCACTAACTGAATAAATTAATAATAATAAAGAATTTATTATATTGTATATGAGAGCTTGATATAGGGTATTTGCAAGTCGTACACTTTAAAAACATAAACATTTCATCAGCATTGTAATATTTGCGTATTTCACTTTTATAATCATACTCAACTCTCGAGTGCTGCTCGACTTTTTGTGTAAGCCCTTAGGAGATGAGCTTTTCAATATATTTGTTTTGTCTGTAGTTGTAGTAAGTTCAATGGTCACTTACCCAAACAACCGTTACCGAGGAAAAGCTCCAAGTGGGCCGTATAGAAGGCCGGTCCAAACTCCTCCCACTGGCCGCGATCCTTGTGCACCAGCATGCGTATGCCAAAGGGTATGGCAAAGACAATGGCAAGCAGTGCGGCCGTCGAGTAGGCTGCGAACGAAACGGGAAATGTGCAAAGCTCACATTATAGCAGTTTTATGGCTGAGTTTATGCCATAATTATGGCGACGCTTCCGACAGTGGCGCGCCACAGGAAGCAACCGAAACACGAAACCAACCGACTTCAACGAGAATGAATTGCTTCGAGTTCCTGTTCCTCTTGCTGTGTCTCCCTCTTTCTCTCTCTCTCTTTCTATCTCTCTCTATCTCTCTTATATCGTTAATTTTGCGTTCCTTTTTTATTTATTTCATTTTTTTTTTTTTTTTTTTTTTTTTTTGAAATAAATAATTTGTATACCCTGAACCCATTTAAAATGTGTAAGCGAGCTGGGATTGTTTTGCCTTATTGCATGTCACAGAGTTTTCGACTTTGACTTCATATAATCATTATATATTGTTTCTAAGAATATTGAGCTGCTTTCATGTACTAATATATTTATAAGTATATAATAAATATCTTTTTTTTTTTTAACTTTTGCAATCAATAAAACATATATAAAAATAATTTTTACTAATGTAATATGTGTATTTATGTATGAATGACATAGCGCTCTCTGCACTTCTACATGTTATCGATAAATTTGGATTTCAAGTTTTGGCTTTTAAAGTAAACTAGAAGTCGTCTAAGCACTAAATATTTTAGATAGCTTGGCTTAGCTATATTAACTATTTCTATAATGATTACCGATCTGAAGACTTAAGAAGATCAAAAACTGAATAAAATCTGTGAACTAGATTTGTATACATAATTAGATATATTCGATATTAATATGAATATTTTATATATGAATATTTTATTTTATTTGTTTAGTTTTATATATGAATATTTTGTATATGAATAATGCCATTTAGATATTTTACGGGCTGTAATATCTATAAATATTATTCATATAATTTTTAGCCATAGACCATGAATATTATGAACTAGAAATATCATTGATAAATTTAATGCAATATAAGATGAAGGCTTAATGTTCTAAGCAGCCTCACTTGATCGATAAATATCGATTTTGAGACTTGACATTCTTCATTGAGAATTCGTTTAGCTATCGAGCTCAAATCGATCCTTTATTTAATTAGCAATCAGCATATTCCATTAGCTCGCTCGATTAGGGTATGGGCTAGTCGGACAGTTGTGCGATAACCGCACTTAGTTGATTTGTTGGACGTAGTTTTTGTTGTGATATGTAATTTCTACTTATGGCCGAGAGCAAGCGAGTGTGAGTGCGTGTGTGAGCGTTGTTTATTGATTTACGACTTGTTTATGGGCCTATAATTACATTATTACTTATATGCTCGGCTCGTGTGTGTTGGGTCGGGTCGAGTCGGGTCCATTTGACCCGCTCCTCTGATGCCGCAAATTGCCGTGCACACAAAGCTTAATTCGGGATATATGACTTCCTGTGATGCAAACAAACCACACACACACAAGCACACACACACAGAAGCAGTCACACACACACACACACAGTTAGACAGTTTTGTATTAGATTGTTGATCTAATTGGGTTGATGGCACATCAATATAAATGTCACTTTTGTGTGATGACTGTCCATCACATGGGGCCAACTTATACAAATCTGTTCGTTTGGCAGCGCTGCCTGAGTCCAAAGGATTGCCAGCTTGGTGGAAAAGGTTTTTACGTGAAAGGCATCCGGAAATGGGATTATGCATTAAATATGACAATACAAGCAGGACAAGAAACTGAACTAATCTGATAACTGCTCAATAATATCCATATACGACCATTTGAACAAGTCCTCAATTGTTCCTTTTAATAGGCAAATAATTGGTAGATCGTTAAGCGAGACAAGGGCGTAGGACTATAGCTGTAAAGGTCGGGTGTTACACAGTCAAGTGAAAATGTGTTTACACAAGAACAAGGGTTAATTGATGCCATAAAAACCTAGTGGATGGATGATGAACGTGGGTTAGTTATGACAATTAAATGAAATGAGAGCATACGTTTCGACAGAGGTAGATGCTTGATGGGTTATAGTACAGCCTATAGGGTATTTCCTAGCAGAGCACTCCCCAAGCTCTTGCTAGTCAACGGCTGTTAAAAACTTTAAATTAATTTCCTAAATCCCATGCTCTGCTTATTTTACTATAAAAATGTTCAAGTGTATTGTATAACAACCTCCATCTCTTCAGGTTCAGGGTATTTACTAGTTGAGCACTTCCCACGGCACAGCGCCTCCTAGCTATTGCTGAAAACTTTAAGTTCCTCTGCTATTGGAATTCATATCTTATCTCTTCGTCGACTTTTCAGCGATAATTTATGTAAGTTAATCAAGAATAAATCAAAATATATTGCCCAAAATGAAAAATTCGCTAAAGATTCCCTTGATAATACTCGAAATGATTCATGGCGATTGCATTGTATCTTGAGGCACATATGTTTCGTACTGTGAGCGACTACATATACCTTCCGAGTGACTATTAAATCAACTATGTAATACTCACTATAAAGATCGAGATTAGCAGCTCATTTAAGAGCATATGGATCTGTAGTTCATTGTAATGGAAATATGAGTTAGGGGTCCTTAAGCTCGCTTGACAAGTTTTTGCTTTTACGTTCAGCAAGTTGGGCTCTTCGTTTTATTGTAGAGTCAATAATTTTTCCGGATCTATTCCCCTGTGAGTCATAAAGCAAGCGGCAAGGGTCAGTCTTTTCCTCTGCCTCTCTCCCTCTCTCTCTCTCTCACTCACTCTCCATCTCTCTGTCTCTCGAAGCCCAAATGCATAACTTTGGTTAGCTAAAATGTATCGACACTTCCTTGACTCGACCAGCGCAAATCTGTGACAGTAGCAGAGTAGCCTCCTACACACACACACACCCGCACACCCGCACACACACACGCCCACTTTGATAGAGAAATACACATAAAGCAAGTCGGACAAATATTCGAAGGCAATGACCGACAAATGGCAACCGAGCGCGTCGTAAAAAGGCTGCTGCTGGCAGCAAAATATTTTTGTTATTTTAATAAAATGACTGCTCTGATTTCGGTCATTATTACTCTCAGGGCCTGGCAACAGCTCTGCCCCTATTCCTCTCCCCCCTCTCTTTCTCCCTCACTCTTAGCGAACTTGGCAACTGCACGGCTATTCAACTTATTTACTGCGAGCTGCCACTCGAACTGAGACTGGTGATATTTCAGGCAAAAGGACCTCACTTTGCATTTATCCAGCCCAAACAGCGCAGCCCAGTCCAACCAGTTCTTGACTTCAGAGAAAAAAAGCAAGTAAGAAAACTCTAGTCGGAGCTGTTCGACTACGAAAACCGCTGAACCGCTGCGAGGAATTGATATAGGGTGTAGAGTTTAGTGCCGATATTTCACATATAACAAAAATCGAAATTCTATAAAATATACATGAATCTATACTTAAAATTTGGAGACTCTAGCTTTAAAGGTCTAGGGGATATCATTTCTCAAAAGTTTCAGATTTATGAATAGACGGACAAAACGCTGCTTGACTCAGCTCAAGAATAATATATACTTTATGGGGGTATACCGCGCCTACTTCTGCCTGTTACATGCACTCAACCACATCTTTATGCAGGGTATACAAAGAACTTTAAGTGGCAGCAGTCGCTAGGTTTTCCAATTTCCAGTTAACAGCCATCACCTATCAGCTAACAGCCACCGCAGCTTCCGCCGCCCAGGCAACAGCCAAAAGGCAATCAATTATGTTGCCATCGCTTGCGTCTTACATTGGAGCCGTTTCACGTTTTACATTTTACATTTTACATTTTATGCTCACATTTTACAGAGATACTACCTTCACCACATTCACCAACCTTTCGCCACCTTCAACTGGCGGCTGCCTGGCAGGCCAACACTGCTCAACAAATTTCCCATTTGCTATTTGCTATTTGCTCTTTGCTATTTGCTCTTTGCTATTTACTTTAGCCTCGCAGGCTTTTGGTCAAAAACAAATGTAGCAAATTATCTTTGTGAAAGTAATATTCGTTTCACTTGTGCTCGACTTAATGGAACAGCCACAAACAGACACCGGCTAATCATAAAAAAAAAACTCTTTATGGACTACACTTTCAGAATGAGTTAACTGAAACTGCATATCTTTGTATATAACTAAGATGAATATACATATACAAATATATTCTTGCTTGGAATTAAGAGTCGAGTGCAGTAAGCCAATCTGTCTGTGAGTCAGTCTTAGATTCCTCCTCTAAATATGTAAATATATAAATCTCTATATATAAATTTTCTATAAATAATTTATTTCTCAAAGAGATTCAATTTGTAGCGTACCAAAAATATGTAGGTAGCTGTGATTGTCAAATTGAATTAGATATTAAAAATTTAATTTCAGTGCGCTATTCGGACGAATTTTTATTTTCCATTTTTTGTGGTTTACAGAATCCAGCTTAATTTTATTTAAAAAAAATGAAATAATAAAAAAACCAATAAATGGAAACATCATTTTAGAGCTATAGTCAATAAAATATAGAAAATATTCACTACGATTGGAGAACGTGACGATCGCAGTCACAAAACTTGAAGTTGTGGAAGAGCAGGTTCAGAGTATTTGCCTGTTGTGCATTCCCCACTGTACGTTGATCAGACCTATATAAAAACTTGACTTGATTCATGCCCAGCAGAGTCCGGTTATAGCGACGCTCAAGGTATCGACGATTTTTTACCGTTAGGGACGCTTTAACCAAACCGGAGGCCTTTTTGTATAACGTAGTGCGTTAAAGTCTGTGTAGACTGAGGGTATTTATCAGTTGAGCACTACCAACACCTTTTTCTCGTACAAAATTCTGATTTTTGCATCTACTCGTTCTCAATTCATTTTATAGTTAACTTTGAACAGCTCAAGTCTATTGCAAAAGGGAAAATAAATTAAATATTTTTAAGTTCTGGCTATTTATTAGAGATTAAAGATTCTGATTAAAGCTGCTTTGCATTTGCATTGCAATGCCACTTAAATGCTAAACCTCTCGCTTTAAATTGAGTCTAAAACTGAGAAAGCGCAAGAAAAAAAAAATGAAACTAATCTTAATTGAATTATAAATTTCGTGTTCTTCCCCTCATCTGCCGTTGCCGTTGTTGTTGTTGTCGTTGTTGTTGCCGTTGTTGTTGCCGTTGTCGTTGCTGAGTTGCCGAGTGTAATGTGAGCCGCTCGAGTCCTTGCCACACGCCGCATGACTGATTGCACGCCGGAATTGGCAACATGCTGCGTCCGTTGACATGCTTCATTTTTTGTCGGCCAACGCATTAATCAATTAGGCGGCCCCAGAGCAAACGAGAGCCTCAGCTTAGCCAGTTACTTGCGAGCATTTAACAACTTGTCTAATACATTTCAGCATTATTTCACGCATTTAGATACAGCAGCCACGTGTTGCGGCCGCAGGCGGGGCATTTGCGACTAGAGCGAGGCATATGTAACACACAGATGGGGCAAGTGATAAGAGAGTTAACTATCTATCTATCTATATATATATATATATATATATATTTATTTATTTATGTATCTATATATCTATATATCTCTATATATATTTATATACATATCTATCTATCTATCAATCTATATATCCGTATATCTATATCAAATATATAGTAAGAGAGCTGACTATCTATGTAGCTATACATCTATATATCCGTATAACTATATCATCTATATAGATGTTTTTATATCCTTGGATTATTTACTTTACTATTTCATTTTTATTTTCTCATTCGGTTATTCAGTTCTAGTGTATTGAGACTTCGTTATGTCTCTGCACGTCTGTTTCCATTGTCTTTTTATTCACTGCTCCTCTTACTCCTCATCTTCTTCTTCTTACTTTTTTGACGCAATGCTGGCCGTGTTCCCTCTTTCTCTCTAGAGCTTAGAGGCTTTACATAAATTTCAGAGGACTGCCTAATCAAATAAGGTTCCACAGCGCCAGTTCATATACGAAGAGACACACATATACACACATAGTTACACACACACTTCCACACATACACACTTACACGCATATTGTTTTGTATTGTTATGGCTATTGTTGTTGAAGTTGCCAGGTCATTGGGATTGGGGTGGGGTCAAAGGTTAATTTCTTTAGTAGTATAAATAAGTGCGAAAATATTTGTATAAAAGAAACGAGAATTTCTGAGAAGGAAAAGAACTTCCCGAATGTCCCAAGCAACCCAAATTAAATTTAAATGCAACGATGCGAAAGGACGAATCTTAAATATTCTGCAAGCTGCTATGGGAAGGAGACACATATGTGTGTATGTGTATATGTGAAATTGAAAGTAAACTGTTTCTTAACAAAGTTTTTTTTTTGGTTGATGAAGTTGGTTTTTATAGATATTCCTTATCAGGATGGTGAAGGCAAGCTGATCTAATTATGATCTGTTCTCTATGTTTTGCTGATATTTCTGTACTACTATATATCTGTCCAGAACTCGTAGGATATAAAAACTTTCTTTTCAATTCATTTATATAAAAATATATAATACCATACTTTATTATATATAAACTAAAAGGCATATTTCATATTCATATATTATATCATATATATGATTTCCTTATCTCATTTATTTACTTAAAGATTATATATATAGAACCATATCTTTTTTTATCATACTGCATCATACCATATCAGACTCGAGTATAAATCTATATTTACTATATCACATATATCATTTAACTTCCTTCACTATCTCCTTTACTTTTGTAAATAACATATCATATATTACGCTTACTATACCAATCCCCTTCATATATCATATCTATATATCATATATCTATATATCATATCTATATATCATATATCTATATGTATATATCATATTGCTCAGCTCATTTATTTGTCTTCACTTTGACTTTGACTACAAATCCTCCATTAAGAGTTTTTTCCAACTGCATATTTATCATAGAGATTATCTGAAAGGGGTATCTTTCAGTCGCCTACCGCTCTCTTTTGCTGCTTGTCTTTATTCGATTCGCTTTCATGCCAAGCTGTGCCAAGTTATCGTAATTGCGCTGCCGGCAATTGAAATCGGCAATTCGTGGGCATTTTAAGTGAATGAAACTAAAATTGGCAATTATTCAGCGAATAAGTGCGGCTCGCCGGGCAGTAAATGAAATCGGATAGCCGGGGAGCGAGGCGGCCTAAAGAAGATGTACATTGTGGGAGGGGTCAGCTCGGGCGGCACTTACCTCGCATGTAGATGTAGGCGGTGCCGCGCATATTGCGTCGGGTCAGGACAATTAGGTTGAGCACGTTGCCAATGATGCCCAGGGCGCAGATGATGGGCAGCATCAGGCCATAGCAGTATTCGCGTAGAGCCTCGGTGCGCGGATCTTCCACATCCTGCGGAATACGCAGCAAAGCAAGAAGAAGAGGAGTAAGCAAAGAATATCACATGGTGTTTTTTTTTTTTTTTAGTGCGAGCGTAACGAAGCTAATCGAAAGTAATAATAGTAATAGAATAAGAGTAAAAAACAAAAACAAACATAAACACTCGACCATCGGCTATAGCTGATTGCACAATGCTCGTTTACAGCACACATAAAAAAAAAATTATAATAAAATGTAGCACGAAATACTCATTGATTTATACACATAAATACAATATGTAGTTTATTTTATTTTATTATTATTATTATTTTTTTTTTTTAACGATTTTTTTGCTGATGAAACGAATATGCCTTGACTTCATCACATTTGCTGCGCTAGCCCGAGAACGGTAAACAAAATCGTCAAAGCTCATAAATCATGCTGCATTTACTTTCTTGCTCATGTGCACACTCCAGCTCGGCTCAGTCCGTCTCTGTCGCGCTTGCAGTTATGCCTGTCGCATTGTTGCCCAGTTGGATGGGCTGCTACAGATAAAAATTCAATAGTCAACTTGACACTTTTATTTGTGACTTGTTATGCACACGCACACACACACACGCACACACACACGCACACACACGAGCACGCACACGCTCTTGTTCTATCTCATCTGTGTCTATATCTATCTCGCTCTATCTTTTGCACGTCTACCACTAAGTGGGTTGGCATTTTCGTATTGTAAATATGTTTTGCATGCTTTTTAGCATGTTTGCTTTTGCTGTTGCTTTTGCTTTTGCTCTTTGTTATGTTTTCCTCTTATTGCTGTGTTCTGCTGTTGCTGTTGCTGTTGTTGTTGTTGTTCTTGTTGGTGCTGGTGCTGCTGTTGATGTTGCTGTTGTTTCATTTTGGTTTTGTTACACCCTCTCTTCCACACTGAGATAGACAGGCACCGCCAGTTCACTTGAGTTCGCCTTTTTTGCAGCCTTGGGCGAAAGTTGTGCACAAAGCACCTTTTGAACGGCAAGAACAGCATCAGCAGCAGCAACACCAACAACAACAGCAGCAACAACAACAACATCTAGTGCAACAGCAGCAAACTTTTGCACGTGCTGTGCTATGAAATGAGTTATTTCGCGTTCGCCTTGAATGAGACTTTGTTCATAACGTTTGCCTGCTCCCACTGCTAAATGGGATAAAGAAGAAAAATAATAATAACAGCAACACACACACACAGAACCACAAAACGCATGAGTATTGTGCTGTGCGTGTGTGTGTGATGTAAAAGTAGGCAACAGCTCGCAGCACAGCTGCTCACAGCAGGCTGCCCCCCTCTAGCCAGCGTTAAGTATTGTTACTCAAAGAACAGTTTGAATTGAACCACAAAAAAATAAAAAGAAATAATAACATAGAAGTTCAAATATAAAATAAAAACATAGAATAGAAAAATTATGTCAGTTTACGCAACTATTTTCGAGCTAGCAAACAGCATTTTTTGCTTGAAAGGAGATTTTTTTTTTTTTATAATTAATTGATAGATTTTTTTTTTATGTTTTGAGTGTTTTTATTTGTTTTTCTTTTTTTTCTTTTTAGTAAAATTTAGCTCTTTAAAATTGGAAATTAAATTATTAATAAATATTTTATTAATTTATCGAAAAGTTTTAAAATGTATTCCAAAAATTCTTTTTGTATAAATGTTAAGAAAAAAAATTTTTGTTAGGAAAAAGAAAAAAAAATAAATAAATAAATAAAAAATCCTAGTATTAATTAGCTACTAACAAATTAGTCAAATAATACTAGGCAATTATTATTCTGATTTTAGTCTTGTGTATTTATTTTAAAATTTTCTTATTTTTGTTGTTATAATTATTTCCATTTTATTTATTTATTTATTTTTTTTTTTTTTTAATTAGTATATCCTTTGAAAAAAAATGGGATTAAAAAAAATAATTTCTCTTTTGTTTTTAAATTAAATACTTTAAATATTATTAAATATATGAAACTTGTTTTAAATATTTGAAAAAATACTAAATATTCTTTATTTCACTATGCCATTATATTGATATTTTAAGTCTTTTTTTTTCTGTAACTATAACTTTTTACTTTATATTTCATATAAATCGAATTCCGTTTGAGAGCTTTTCCAATGAATTTTAAAATATACCTATTTTGTTTTTGCAAAATTAAAATAATAATAAAAAAAAAAAAAAAAAAAAAAAAAACCGAAACTAGGCAATTTGCTTCCGTTTACTATTTGCTTTTTGATGTGATTATTATGCTAATTGTGGGAGTACCCCTCGCTTGGGTGCGGAACTGAGGCTGAGAGATTTCACTTACCGCATATAGGTCGTCTCGCAAGTCGTTAGCGTAAATGTGGGTGGCATTGGTGGCGGTGCCCAGGACGAGGTCGCTGCTGCTGGTTAGATTCGCGCCCCAGATGACGGAGCAATAGGCGGGATCCTCCTCGGTGTTGTAGAGTCGTGTTATCATAGTTTTGCTCTGATGATTTCTCACGATTCGTTCCATGCGACTATCAATCTGTGTAGGAGTGTGCGTACGCAAGCGTGCGCGTATGTGTGTGTGTGTGTGGGTGGGTGGGTGCTGGTATGTGTTAAGCCTTCAAGTATCCGCAGTTAGATTCTAGTTTAATTTGTGTAAGTAAAGAAAGCGAACAAAGGCGGCAAAGTCAAAGAAATTGCGTGTAAAAATAGCTGGCGGGAACAAGCTCATGAATGAATGCGGGCCCTCTACCATGTCGAAGCTATGTAATTTAAATGTCGGTGATGACAACAGCAACAACAACAGCAGCAGCAGCAGCAGCAGCCGCAGTAGCAGCAGTAGCAACAACAATAGCCGTAACTACAACAGCAACAACAACAATGACAACGACGACGACGACCCTCAACACCGGAACGGCAGCGCCATTGAGATGAAGGGCGCAGATAATAGCAGCAACAAGAGCTATCCGAAAGAGAGAGAGAGAGAACGACAGAAAGAGAGAGTGAGAGCGAGAGCGACAGAGACTAGCGGAAACGGAAGCGTACACTTTGCTATAAAAACAAAAGTTGTAAGTCGATGGGGAGCTAGGCGCTCGCAGGACCTGGCAGGAGCTCGGAGGAGCTGGCAGGACCCGGCAGGAGCTGGCAGGAGCTGTAAGCTGGCAGCTGGCAGCATTCATACCAATCATCTGTATCAGCGCCCAATGCCCAAGACACATTACAGTTGACGCTTTGATAGCCATTGTCGCAAATCAAATCATTGTTCACAAATAAACAAAAAAAAAAAAAGAAATAGGAAAAGGAGAAAAATCAAAAATGGAAACAAATTGTAAAGCAAACGTCCAGCCATAAAAATAAAATGCTGGAAATAATTGCGGCCTCTGAAATATGTTTGAATTGAATGCAAATCGTTTGCGAAACAATGCCCACTAAATGGGCGGAACAGGATAGTTAATCCCAAAGCGAGAGAGAGAGAGAGAGAGGAGAGAGAGAGAGAGAGAGAGAGATGCGATGATCTCTGTATGAATTGGTTGGGAATGTATGGGAAATGAAACAGGCTGAAGTTGAATGCAGGGAACAGAGTATTTGAGTAAGTTCCAATTGAATCGATTTAGATCTATGGGAGTAGTTCTATATCATTTATGAGTTTGTGTGAGGGAACGGGGCTTACTCTCTACACTCCAATCATGAAGGAGATGAAGGATTGAGTGAATTCCAATCGGATCCGAATTGATCAACTTGAGCGACGTTCGTGATTAAGTGAATTATGAGATTGTGGGAGCAGACATAGCGTACCCTCCACTCTTCTCTCTCCACTTTCCAATCAAGCTCTCCATTTATGTTGCAACCGAACAGAATTGAAATATTTTAATATTATATAAAGCCAACATCGAAGGAGCAGTTTTGAGAAATGGTTGACTTCATTTTAAGCTTTAAGTATTAAAAAAAAAAAATGTTTCTGTTAAAGTAAATATTACTAAGTCTCTATGGATCTAATCTGTAAGGTAAAAAACATCGAATATGTCTGTTTGCAAATTAACTTTTACATTGAAAACCGTCGAGAGAAGTTCCTTGTCGCATGCTCAATAAAAGTACCCTGCAATATCAGAAATTAGAAAAGTGTCAAAACGAAGACTGATTATTAAAAAATATACTAAAGATCTTGATAAATGTAGAATCCGGTTATAATGCGTCCGCTTATATCGTCCGTACGGTTATTTGCGACGATATTTTTGGTCCCCAGACAAACTGTCGCATATATGTATATTCTCATAAAACAATAAATACCCTATATATCTATTTCCATAGCAAATAGAGTATAAAACCTAAAAGTTCGGGATACTTTTAAAACAGAGCTTCTAGGATAAGTCAATAGTCCCCATCATGCATATTTCATATGTATATAAGATTATTATTATGATTATTATTATATGCAATTCTCTTATGGGTGTTTTGTTTGGAAAAGTCTTGAGGAATTGATCAAGGTCTGAGTAATTCTAGTAATTTTTGGAACTTATATAGAGAGAGATGATAGAGAATGCTGTAAAGTGATAGCTGATATATCTGTATACTTACTGTAATGCTTATAAGCTGTGGATGTACGAGCCCAAAAGAAAAGAACTGAGCTCTTCTATTCTCCGAACAATCCGAACAATCCCATCAAATAGGGTGGATCGAAGTAAAGAATTTGAGAAATTTTAAGCAAATTGCTTGAGTTAAATTTATGGTAAACGTTGTTTTTGATTGATTGTTGTTGTTGTGGCTCATTGTTGCTTGTTGTTGTTGTCAGTGCGCTGACATCCGACAATCGAGAATCGTTGACTGAGCGGGGCAAGGGGGGAAACGAGTTGCTGAACTAGCTGAAGTTCTGCTAGCCAAAATTCATGGCTGGATTTGGCTTGGCTTGGCTTGGCTTGGCTTGGCTTGGCTTATGCATAATGTATATGAATGGAAACTGAATTTGCGTGCAATTAGAACATTGGATTAGTATATAAAGAGATATGTATATATATATGTATATATATATTTATACATGTGTGTGTATATACAATGGGTGTGATACGTGGAGCTTACCTGTAAATACCTTGGGGATCGACTGGAACGAGCTGCAATCGCAGTGTCAAATTCTCTGTTTTTCCTTCTTCTTTCGGCTCTTCTTCTTCTTGCTGTTTCTTCTTCTTCTTATGCTGCTTTAGTCCCACGAACTTCGGTGCTTGGCTGAAAGTCTCTTAGCACTTGAAGCGCTCGAGCAGATGTCGAGGCAGTTTCCCTAGTTGCTGTAGCTGTTGCTGCTGTAGCTGCTGCTGCTGCTGCTGCTGCTGACACATGTTGCATGTTGGTCAGGGGCTGCAATCAACACGCTGCAATAAAAATAATACGCTCAGCCATGTTCATTTTGTGACACTCGCCCGACGCGCACACTTTATTTGTCTTTTATTGTGCCCTCAAAGTACACCAGCAGGAGACGGTGCTGGCGGCACTTGAGCGGGAATAAACTGGGATGGGAGGCAGGAGGCGGGAGTGTTGCCCATTGGTAGTTGGGGTTAAGGACGCACCTCATGTGTCATATAAATGACGATGTCGACTCGCCGTGCACGTACGCGTCCCGGGGCCCTTGCAACAGGTGTGTTTTATATTCACGCAGTCAACACGCGCCTGTCACACACACACACACAGACACAGAGGGGGGAGAGAGAAAGGGGGCCGAGTGTAGTGCTCGCTAAGCGCTAAAATCAACGCTGACAGGCGACAGAGTTTTGTATAAGATATTTGATAAATTGCCCCAACCAGAAGCCCGTGACGTTCAGCTAGCCAAGGATTCAGGAGCGAGTGTCATAAAGCGGGACACAGTAAGTGCCAGGCAAATATGCCAGATATCCATATATCAATGTGTCAATATATACATACATATATTAATAAGGCATATACATACATACATATTGTGTAGATATATAGTATATAAGTATGTATATATACTCAACAGAGTGAAATTTTGCTGGGTTTCTAGTTTAATATTCTAGCAACACTTTGAGCTATAGATTATTTTCCTCGAATATCCGACTAGAATATGCTTGGCCTTGGCTTGTTCTGTGTCTAATAACCTGCTCATATTGCTCTACAGTCCACCCTAATCCTTGAGCAGATAAGTTGATTTCTCATATGCAGCTGAGATGGAAATTGTTGAGTAAATTCCATGACAGTATAATCAACATTTTTCAATCTCTGTCTGGCCTTGTCTGACGATACCCTGTTGCAATTGCAAGTGCGCTGGCCGGGTATATTGGTTTTGCTGAGGTGTGTGTGTTTGTGGAATAAACAGGACTAGAGGCTCATAGACTACAGAAAAGCTTTAGCTTTTCGATATAAATAGGTCATATGGAAATAAGAAGAAGATAAAATATGCAAGCATGATTAAGTTTCTTCGAGCTGAGTTGATTAGCTATGCCAGTTTGTTCAGCCGACGCGTCGGTCTCTGCCTCTTCGTTTGTTCCTTTCTCTTTCTCTCTTTCTCGTCTTCATATTCTCAATGATCTCGAAGATCATAAGCTACAAATTATATATATATATATATTTTTTTTTTTTTCTAGTTTCATTCGTCATAGAATTTTGTTGTTTATTTTCCGATACCTCTAAACTCTACTTTGTTATCAATATAACTTTTGATGTGTCTCTTAAGCCATAGCTTAGAGATTATTGCTATATGGCTATATTAATTTAAATAATATATGAATATATCTATTTTATCCATAATATTATTATTATTACAGTATTTTTTTCTATCATATTAATTATTTCTTAATATCGATCAATTTGACTTATTTCAAATAGTCAACTCGGAATTTGGCTGCCCTAAGTTATTTATGCTTTAAAAGCTTTCTGAGTTTAGGACAGCCAGAGTTTAGACTTTACATGGTCAAGTCTAACCACCCTGTTACCTATGGCATCTATCAGTGCGTCTATCAATCTGTCAATGAGATAGCTCATCTATCCATCTATTCTTCCGCTCTTCTATCCACTCATCTATCTATTCAACCGTCAGTCCGTACGTCCATCCGTCCGTCCGTCCGGACATCCTCTCCAAATGATGTAGCTAATCCGAATTACAAATTGTTTTCCAATTGAGTTTTTCATCAAATTGAGGCAGTAGCAAAACGTATTTCCCCCTTAAACTCTAAACTCTGCATGCAGCACAGCCTTGGTTGGCCCAAAAGCAATCCCCTTGGCCTGCTGACGCTCTTGTCCCTTGACCGTAAATCGACTATAAAAACTAGACTTAAACTGTGCGTTAATCATTTGCTGACGCGCATCTATCGATGTCCCACTGTGGCTGCCACTTGCCACTTGCCACTTGCCACTTGGCCCAAGCACTTGCAGCCTGCACTTGCCGCGCGCGCGAATAAGTATGCAACACTTTCAGCCATTTGCATATGGCCCACATCACGCAGACGCCGTATGGTGGCTGCTCGGCTGCTCGGCTGCTTGGCTGCTCTGCTCGGCTTTGCTGGCTGTGTAGCTGCCGTCTGGGGAGATTGAATGACACAAAACATGACACAAACTTAATTTCCCCAAGGCAGCCATCGCCCACTGCCCCCTCCCGCTGCCCGACTAGCTGCCCGACAGAGTGACTGAATGAATCGCGGCAACACCCTGGCAACACGTTGTTGCCACTCGATAGGTGCGACTACCCCAACACGCAGCAGGCAGCAGCCAGCAGCCAGCAGCCAGCGCCAACGCAATCGCACGCATCGAACTGTCATATTGTAAAAATGTCGCATAAGTTATGCCAGCGATTATCATAATCATTTGCCAGTGGCCAGGACGCTCGACACACACGAATGATTCAAGCGCGCCAATATGGAGGCTGGTGTATATCTCTGTCTCTCTCTCTCTCTCTCACTCTGTGTGTGTGTGTGTGCCAGTGACTGGGCAAGGCCAGGTAGAGCTATATAAATAGATATACTCGTACCTCAATATATATATTTATATGTGCGTATTATTGTGTGCGCTTGTCTCTGTGTGTCTACACTTGTCGCTGGCGTTGTTAGTTTTTGGGCTTTTGCGATACTGTTTGCTGAGCACTTACAGTTATTGCGGTCTAGTTTCGGGCCAAAAGTTTTCATTTTGTTAAATAAACAAGCTACAGCAAGACAGAGACCATGCGAAAGAGAGACAGAGATATTGAGTGGGTGAGATAAATTAGGGAAAATAACAAAGCAAAATGCCCGCCTGACCATGACCAAGCCCTAGCTAACTGACGACCTGTCCGATTGCGTCTATCGACGTCAGAGACCAGCATATGCAGCGACAGTCAATAGTCGATAAGCGATAGTCGATAATCTATAGATGACAATCAATCGATAATCGACAGTCAACAATCCATCAAAACGAATTATAGTAGACAAACACTCTATTAATAGTCTATCGTTTATTGTTGATCATCTATTGTTGACTATCGGTCAAAAATAGATTATTAAAGGACAACAATCGATAGTCGAAAATAAGCAGTTAATGATCTATAGTTGATGATCGGTGGAAGATCGGTGGAAGATCGGTTATTGATAGTTGTTAATCGAGAGCCCAGCACCGATAGTTGATTATTAATAGACCAATATCGATCATTTAAAATGAAGAGTCGTTACTCTGCAGCTGATAGTTGAAATTCAATAAGAAAATCAGTAATTGATAGTTGGTAATCGACAGTCTATAATCGATCAAGAATTAGAGGTAGTCGACAATCAACAGTCTATAATCGGTAATTGATCATTTATAGTCGATTATGTATTGTTGACAATCGATTATTAGCATGCAATTATCGATAATCTATAATGAATAGGCGACAATCAACATTCACTAATCGATTGTCGGTAATTGCTTGTTAATAGCTGGTAATCGATTCTCGATAAGCGATAATCTATAATCCATAATGGATAGTCAGCAGCGTCTACAGAAAATATTCGGTTTGTGACAGGACGACGAGCAGCCAAATCATTTTTTAAAATCCATAAAGCCAAAGACTTTTTCGGTAGCTCATCGAATATGTTTATTATCGATATAAGTTGATAATTTAATGCCGGTTTGGTGTGTAGCTCCGTGTACTGCGTACAAAGGAAATATTTAATATTTGCATTTCCGATACCCTTTTCGTTTCCTTTTGAAGTGTGAGAAGCCCATATTTCAAATCATTGCTGTCTGTGCAAAAGTGATTAAGCGCAGCTATCTATTCGAAAAGTTATTCAATTAAGAAGTTTCCCCTATTTGATGATAAGTGTTTGAACGATGGGAATGCAAGTTCTTTGTAGTTGTCAGGGTATCGCCAGGTCGAGCAGTGCCGACCCGAGCATCCTTTGCTTGTTGTTTCACTTCTCACACTCACTCAACATGTACATACATATGTACATCTCCTGAAAGAGCGTAAGTACACTAATTCGAATCGTCTGCTTATAGATCTTATTGCCCAGCTCGCTAAGCTGCGTCGATGTCTGTCCCCCATCCCCCAACTTCCTGGGCGTGGTCTTAATTGGACCAGCGGAAGCCCCTACTCCTAAAATTTTCCGCTATTCGCTCTCAGGCCTCGGCGTCCACCTCTGTGGCAAGTCAGACTAAGTCTCTAATTCTATAATACCCTAACTCTGCAATATTCACTCTGCTTTTACGTTCAGCTGAATATTCTCTTGGAAGTAATCTTTGATTTTATATAATAAATAATAAAAAAAAGATATTCTTGCAGTTCCTTTTGAATTGATTTAGTTAAAGGTAAGAGTATTTGTGAATGGTTCTACTCATATTTGGGCTTTATATGGTCTGTCATACACACACACACATACACCCACACAGATGACTCTGCACTGTTTGACATTGATTTTGAGCATTTTTGAGGCCCTCAATAGACACAAAGCGAAATGAAGCAAATGCTTAATAAATCCCATAAAGATTTTGTTACGCTTCATTTTTTTTCTTTTTCAGATACAGCCCTCTCTCTCTATCTCTCTCTTTCTCTACCACGCCCTCTCTAACTCTTCCCTCTATGTGTGTATATGTATTTAGTCCCCGAGCTGGCATGATTAATGCCTTTGTTTGTGTTTCCCGCGTCGCATTTATGCATATGTGTGTGTGTGTCTGTGTGGGTGTGGGTGTGGGAGTGGGTGTGTGTGTGTGTGTTTTGCTTGGTTTTTGGCCTGTTTGCTGCCGGCCTGCCAGTCGAATGATATGTTTAACAAAAAAGTTTAACGCAAATTAAGTCAAACTGGCAGCGCTTAACGATGTGCGACATAGATGAATATGCCACATGTGTATGTCTGTGTGTGTGCATGTGTGTGCGTGCGTGTTCTAGTCCGCTTGCCAGCGGGTAGTTGGCCAATGT